GGGGGTAGGAGTCAGGGTGTGTGTGTGGGGGGGTAGGAGTCAGGGTGTGTGTGTGGGGGTAGGAGTCAGGGTGTGTGTGTGGGGGTAGGAGTCAGGGTGTGTGTGTGGGGGGGTAGGAGTCAGGGTGTGTGTGTGGGGGTAGGAGTCAGGGTGTGTGTGTGGGGGTAGGAGTCAGGGTGTGTGTGTCAGGTGTTCTGGATGTGGATGACAGGAAGCTATCCATAGCTGGTTGTGGGGCTGAGGCCTTGCCATGATCCTGGCAGGACCTGGACTGGAGACTAAACAGTGAGGATCGAGGGGCTTGGGGTGAGCAGGGCTTATTCCTTTCCACCTCAAAATCTGGAGGTGTGAGGCCGGCAGTCCCAGCCCCCAGACAGGGGGGCACCTCCCATCTCAGCCCCTCAGTGGTTCTCCAGGTCATCAAGTGTGGACACTACTCCATGGCTCCTCTGTGCTCTTTCATCGGTATTGCTAACACTGGCCGGGGTCTGGTCCTATCCACTCCTCTAACATGGTGAGGTCAGCCACATCTTCACCAGAGACCTCATCTGCATGGCCGTGTCCAGAAATAAGGTCCTCAAGCAGTATTACAGTATTAGGATACAGAGTGACAAATCTCATGGCCCACCCAGCTACACATGCTCAAGCCTCCAAGATGCCAGGCCTAAACAAGGAACCTAACAGGTCCTTAAGCCACTAGACAGCACTGACGATGCCCAGCCTTACCTCTCAATAAAATCTTTTGTAGGGTGAACCAGGAAGCCAGAGATCTTTGCTGTTTCTTTTCTTTTCTTTTCTTTTCTTTTTTTTTTAACTTTTACTTCTATTATAAAAGAGCTGCTAGGAGCTACCAGCCACATCCCATACTCAAACAGTCTGGGGATGATAGCTCAGCTTCCTTCCTATCTTTCCTACTGAGAATTCCAAGAAGCAGGCTTCTAGGAAGATGGCCTAAGGCACAGGTGAGGGTGGCTGTGAGGCCCATGGAAAGCAGGTATGTGGGTTCTAGGGCGGTGGTCCTTCACTGATAAAAATAAACCAGTAGGAGGAGGTGGGCTTTACGACTCATAGCAAGAGCAGAACCAGAAGGAACCAAAGGGCCAGCCAGAGGCGGTGTACTCCTGCTTGTCCTGCAAATTGCTGCAAGCCTGTGCTTTGGCCTGTGAGTGGGTCTTGCACTCTGTGACAGGATATGGCCAGTGCTATTCTCCATGGCTCTCCTGACATGGTGCTCGGCCCTATGCCCCCTTCCCTGGGATGCCGGGACCTGCAGCTGCATGCAACTTGGCTGGTCTGTGCCACCCTTTACACCCTCAGCCCACACTCTACTCTTCAGTTATCATGTGTGGCTTTTGCTGCCATTTCAGCTGCCAGCCAGGGTGCTCCCAGGCTGCATGCGGAGCTAAGGACAGCACACTGCCACCAGCTATGACTCTCACTCTGACCCAGGCCCAGCTTTCTTGAGAACCTGCTGTTAGACATGCTTCTGGGTCCTGTGAGTATCTGCCTGGCAGGGGTTCCAGTTGTTCAAGAGTCAGTGGCTCTCTCAGGGTTGGGTGCACTGTGATGTGTTCTAAAAGGCTGTGTGAAAGATCTATGAGTGAGGGAAAGCTTGCCTGTCAGTGCTGGCAGCAGGTCTACCTCTATTCCAGTCAGCCTGGCCTGTCCAGGTCAAGACTGCAAGGGTTGCATCCTACCTTCACCTCCTCCAAGGCTTCTTTCAGTTTGTCTCCCACCCCACCCACCAACAGGGAGACTTCTGCTGGTAGCCCCCATTTCCACTTCTCCCTGGCCTGTGGCCTCCTGATAGTTGCTTTCTGAGCTGTCCATCCTCATCTCTGCTGAAGTCACTCAGCCAGGAAGACTAAAGTGGCAATCCTTGTTCCACTGAGCACTCTGAAAACCACCAGTGCTCAACACCAGACAAACCCAGGAGTTGTGGGCATAGCAGCATGGTTATACTCCTAGCACTGGATGAGACAGAGACAGGAGGACTGCTGCAAGTTCCAGGCCAGCCAGGGCTACAGAGCAAGACCATGGTTCAAAAAACCAAAATCAAATCAAAACAAGGGTCACTACTCCATCTGATCTGCACATGAACTCCTGCATCTGTGGGCTGACCACTTCCTCAGTCTTTAAAGCAAGCAGGGTGTAATTCCTGTAATCCCAGCATTTAGGAGGCAGAATAATATCCTGGTAGATTCAAGGCCAGACAGAAATACACAGTGAGACACAGTCTCAGAACAAACAAACAAACAAACAAACCCAAAAACTAACAACAAAAACACTAAACATATTTAATCACAGAACTGTAAAAAAAGTTGTAAAAGATGTAAAGTTCTATACATCTAGCTTAAGGAACAGAATGTTACTGCCACTGGAAAAATAAAGTTTTCTTGACACCAGTTATGTTTGCTGCGGATCTGGACTTTGCACTGCTCCTCTGCCTTTGAGGGCTGAGATGCACTGTCTCTCCGTGTGTGCCGCCATGCCCAGCTTTGACAGATGAGGAGCTGCAAGCCACATACATTTGTATTAGCCGAGTCTGAGACTGCTGCTGGTGCTGCTGCTCGGGCCTCTCTGTTGCTGGGTACATTTCCATCCTCTTCTGCCCTGTGCTGCCTCTCAGTTCCCTGTGCCGAGTCAGAACAGTGTTTCCTTTGCTACAACCCTCAAAAGGATGGTATTGGGGCTGGAAAGACGGCTCAGAAGTTATGTGCTTTTCCAGAGGCCCAGGTTCAGTTCCCAGGACCCACACTGGGCATCTCACAACAACCTCCTTGTAACATCAGCTCTGGGGGTATGTTTGAATGCTTGGTCCCTAGTTGGTGGAATTGTTTGGGAAGGCTTGAGAGGTGTGGCACGTTGCTGGGAGTGGTCCCTGTGGAGCAGGTTTTGAGGTTTTACTCTTTTTGTTTGCTTGGTTTTTTGTTGTTGTTGTTTTGTTTTTTGGGTTTTTTGTTTGTTTGTTTTTCCGAGACAGGGTTTCTCTGTGTAGTTCTGGCTGTCCTGGAACTCACTCTGTAGACCAGGCTGGCCTCGAACTCAGAAATCCGCCTGCCTCTGCCTCCCAAGTGCTGGGATTAAAGGCGTGCGCCACCACCGCCCGGCGGTTTTGAGGTTTTTAAAAGCCCATTCTACTCCCAGTTACTGCTCACTGCTTGATGGTTGTGTCTCAAGATGTGATCTCTCAGCTACTGCTCTAGCACCATGCTTGCCTGCCTGCTCCCCTGCTCCCTGCCATGATGGTCATGGACTCTTGAGCCTCTGAAACTGTAAATCCCACATTAAATATTTTCATTTGTAAGTTAACTTCGTCATAGTGTTTTACCATAGCAATACAAGTAAGACATTGTGCATGAATGATTTAACAGATTGAGACAGGTTTTCTCTGTGTAGTCCTGGCTATCCTGGAACTCTCTCTGTAGATCAGGCTGGCCTCTAACTCAGAGATCTGCTTGCTTTTGCCTCCTGAGCACTGGAATTAAAGGCATAGGCCACCACCACTCCCTGGCAACTGGAATTTTTTTTTTGGGGGGGAAGCAAACTACTACTTCTACTTCTTCTCCTTCTCCTTCTCCTTCTCCTTCTCCCTCTTCCTCTTCCTCTTCTCCTTATTCTTATTCCCTCCTCCTCTTCCTCCTCCTCCTCCTCCCCCCCCCTCCTCCTCCTCCTCCTCCTCCTCCTTCTCCTCCACTTCTTCTTTAAGACAGGATTTTGCTATGTGGCCAGAGAAGTACTGAATTTCTGGACTGATCCTCTTGTCTCAGTGCCTTGAATAGATGGGACCATAGGCATGTGTACCATGATCACACCAGAACTTTCTCATTTTACATAAAATACATGCTAACATGCATGTTCAAGGGTACTCACCATCATCTTATTTGTAATGACAAAGAACTAGAAACGACCTAACACCAACTGTTCAAGAACATCTCAGGACACAGTGCACAGCAGCGTGGATTGTGACCAAGAAGGACATGTCCAGGACTAACACCAGGACGACACTGGATCACACACTACACTCAACGTATCTGGTTGTGATCCCCCTGTCTTTTGACACAATGTTTCTCTGTGTAGTTCTGTATGTCCTGGAACTGAGTATATAGACCAGGCTGTCCCTGAACTCACTTGCTCATCTGCTTCTGCCTCCTGAGTGCTGGGATTGAACGTGTGCACCACTGTGCCAGGAATTGTTTGTTTTGTCTAGCTTTGGTTTTAAATCAGTTTTTCTTCTTCTACCCTTCTTGCTTGGTGTCATCTCAAACAGTTCCCCCAAAGTGAGCGCTTTGGAGAGATTTTCCTAAGAATTTCACTTTGACCATCACTGGCTCTTCTAGAGAAGCAGGCCATCCACCCTGTATCCAGTGTGTGGAGAAGTAGATGTCATCCTAAGGAGCCCCGGGGGACACTGTGTGTGACACGGTTTCTGATCTGCAGGCTCTGTGATACTAGGCACAGGACACTCTGGCTCCATAGGAGAACTAAGGTACACAGGCCCAGGAGATCAAAGTGGCAGAGAGAATGCAATGCACAACCTACGGTTGCTTCAGAACATCACAGCCACCCTGTCCCCACTCCTGTGGCACTCTATCCTGTTGGTAGTGATCAAGAGGCAGCACTCTTACCTGCAGCAGAGTTATCCTGTGAGGGGATGCCTGAAAGGCTGGATCCCAGGTCTAGCAGCCTCCAGGTATCTTGGAGGGAACTGCTGGCCAATGAAGATGATCTGTGGGTATGGTAGTCACTTTCTTCAGGGACTTCTTGAGCCTGTGGTAGCTTTGGGGTCCTGTTTTCTTTTTGATAAACTGACTTCCAAGTCTCTATGGGGACTCTGTGCTGCTTCTGTGAAAGTTAAGAGAAAGTTATGAAGTGGTTCTCTTTGATAGCTACCCTCTCTCCATCCTTGAGATGCTTACAGCTCTCCCTCCTTGCTCCCACCAGGATAGAGGGACCAGGATACTTCTCAAGATGGAGATGGGCTCCTGGAGAGCAACTGAGTGCTCCAGGCATAGAACACCAGCAGTGTTGACTGACGTCACCAGGCTCAGCTGAATGTCCGAAGCCCAGATGAGTCCAGCATAGAGGTGTGGGGACAGCCCTGACAGCTGAGGTCCCTGCCAGAGTGTGCCAGCCACGATGGGGTGAATGATTCCAGGTGCCCAGCGTCTGTGGTCCTCCACCTGCCCCACCTCTCTAAAGGGAAGTACCTGCTGGCACATCATGGCAATGTGACCTTCCTAAGGCACCAAGGTGTTCAAGTTCCACACTCATGTGTGTATGAACATCCAGATGGGTTAGACCCCAGTACCCACAGAATCCTATGACTACAGTCCAGCTCTCATATGCACCCCCCAGAGACCACTGCACCCTAGCACCGGGCTGTACCTGAGCAGGCCTTGACGTCATTCCTGCTCTGTGGCCTTGTGGGGTGTTGTTTTTGCTGACCTCTTGTGCTGAGTGGAGTTGATTCTTCCCTGCATATTCAGAAACACATCTTCTCTTGGTGTGCCTGGGGTCCTGTCATGGAAAGTTAAGAGAGATTTAGGACCTGGTCATTGGTGTATCCACTCTCCCACAAGATGAGAAAGAAACAGTCCTCGAATCCTCGGGGACGGGGGCTCTTCATTTGTTGTCAGCCTTCACAGGAAGGACAAGCTTGTTTTACCGAAAATTCAGTCAGCTTCCACCAGTTGGCCTAGGTGGTTCTCACAATCCTCTGGGGGAAGGAAGCTATGAATTCTAAGCATAAATCTCTTCCCCAAGAGCAGGACAGTCCTGCATGGCTCTGGCTTAAGTAGACCCCACCCAAAGATAGTGCCTCCTGGGCTAGTCCCTAACTGGGCCGCTCTGCCCATTGTACAGTCTGAATGCTTGGTCCCATCCATGTTCTGCGGAGAAGTCAATGGAAGGGGAGGCAGGGGACATCAAAGAGAATCATAAAGGGCTGGAAAGGAAACAAGGACAACAGGAAGGAATAGCAGCCAGGCGTGCTAAACTCACAGCAGCAGGTGGGACAGGGTGTGACCTCTCTGGCAGTCCTCTATGTACACAGTAGTGAGCACACCCAACTCATGGACTTTTGGGCTTAGAGCTCCTTTTCCATGGTCTTTTCCGTTCTCTCTCTGTCTCTCTCTGTGTGTCTCTGTCTCTCTCTCTGACAGGGTTTCTCTGTGTAGCTTTGGAAGTCCTGGAAGTGCTATGATTAAGGGCGTGCACTACCACTGCCCAGATCTTTCTACTACTACTTACATGGTAGGTAGATTTACTACTAGAAATAAACATAAATAAAGAAAGAATTTAAAAAAGACTATATATATTATTGTTTTGTGAGATTAAAGAAATTAAAGGTATAATGCCACCACCACCTGGCAATTTTTATATTTTTAGGACTATAATTTGCCTGCAAATATACCTGTGTATTATATGCATGCTTGCTGCCTACAGAGGCCAGAAAATGGCACGGGATCCCCTGGGACTGGAGTTACAGACAGTTGTGAGCTGCCATGTGGGTGCTGGGAACTTAACCACTGAGCCTCTCTCCAGCTGTTTTGTTCATATTGTTTGTGTTTGAGGCTGGCTTTACTGCAGCCCAAGTTGGTCTTAAACTCCCTCCTCTTCCCTCAGTCTCCAGTGTTTCTTTTATAGAGTTTTAGGTTATTTCAGTAGATGTAATCACAGTGGTAGTTCTGTTGTTGTTTGGAAAAAATTAATAGTTTAATAAAATATTTACTATACTAGGAAGAAGTAGTCAGATAAGAGACATGTTTTATTGCAATGAACAGCAGGCTTGTTTACTTGGTGTGGGAAGGTTTCTTCTGACAAAACACGTTTGAGAAGTTTGAGCAATGACAAAAACTCCCAAGCAGTTGGAGGTGAAACCTTCCCCGGTTTGAAGAGTGTCTCCCACAGGTCAGGAGCAGCCGCACTGCAGCCGGTGTGGGCCCACGGAGGGAGGACGGAGGTGGCGGAACATATGCAGGAGCCTGCTCTCCAGCAGCGCAGGAGTGGAACCTGCCACTCTGAACAAATGGGGTCTCCTCTCTGGACTCGGTCACACTTCTCAATGCTTCCCTCAGACTTCCCTTCCTGAGGAGAGTGGTTTGCTGGGGAAACACCTGGGCTTGCCCTACTTTCTTTGGCCAATCCTGCTCAGTTTCTTCTCTGAGGAACAACTGAGCTCTCCACGCCTGCTTTCTGGGTGGCCTTGCCCCTGTCCTTGACTTTGGCTCTTTGTCCTTAGCGTGTGCTCTTCGCATGTGGTCTCAAGCTGGCCCAGGTGTGAGTGGAGAAGGACTACCTCTGACTTGGCCACGTTCCCTACCCAGCTGCTCAGGCCTAAGCTTTGATGTTCTTTCTTGGTGTTCCTGATATTCTTTTCCCACATTTCAGCCTGGCCCCCACCTCCACCCTGCCTCAGTGGGCCTCACCCGTGATGGTCAGCGTGTTGCTCCCTCGCCCAAAGCCTGCCATCCCTACCTGGCTGGGAGTAAATTTAGAACTTACACCACCCCAGGGCAAAAACATCTCTACATGGCTTTCTTTTCTTTTAACTTACTTTAAGTAAACTCAAAAGGCAAATTCCTTTGGGAAAATATATTTGCAGTTATTCAAAAATATGAATCATTACTGTGATTCCAAAAACAATTCCCATAGCCTTAAAGAAGCTGAGCATTAGTAGGTTAAACCTGTATTAGCTGGCCCAGAGTGGTGACCTAAAGTCTTTGCACTTTAGGAACCTAACAGGAAGATTACAAGACTCTCAAAAATCAAATAACCCTGCTATGTACACATTTAGCTCCAAGGCACAAGCTTGTTATGTTTCATCAGCCAATGGTGGAAATTACTAGTTGTATTGAAACTTGTGGGAAGAAAAAGCAATATGAACATTCCCATGGCAGAGGCATGCTACCTCAGGTCTCAGGGGCCCAGGCCCACTATTTCAGCTAAAGTTCTGAGTGAGCGGCCCTGGACACTGGGTCACCTGGGGATTTATATCTTGCAAGTCATGACTGTTGTGGGTAAAGCCTGATGAGAGGTCATCTTGTTTTCTGCTGGAGTCAGGGTTTCACTGTGCAGCCTTGGATGGCCTGGACTTCATCAGGTTGGACTCAAACTCATAGACATCTGCCTGCCTCTGCTTCCTAAATCTGGGATTAATGGTGAGTGCCACCACATGAGGAGAAGGCACTTCTCTGAGTGATGGAAAGTCTAATCAGGTCAAAGGAATAACATGGCTGGAGTTGACATTTTAATGTTGGGATGGAACCCAGGGCCTCATGCACACTAAACATATGTTCTACCACTGAGCTACACCCCAGGTCCTTGACCATAGCCACCATGCCTGGCCATAAAGAATTTTAAAATTAGGTGTGACAGAGCAGGCTGTTAATCCCAGCATTTGGAAGGTAAAGGCAGACAGATAAGGATGAGGCCAGCCTGGTCTACATTGTTCCAGGCCCTTCAGAGCTACAAAAAAACTTTGTCTCAAAAAAAAAATTAACACACACACACAGAGAGAGAAGAGAGAGAGAGAGAGAGAGAGAGAGAGAGAGAGAGAGAGAGAGAGAGAAAGAAAGTATTTAACTTAGTTTTTATTTTACAGGATCCCGCAGTTGAAAGAATTTGGATTTTTAAAAGGGACTTTTGAACTTTTAGTGTTTAAAGTTTTTTGTTTTTTTGTTTTTTGTTTTTTTCGAGACAGGGTTTCTCTGTATAGCCCTGGCTGTCCTGGAACTCACTCTGTAGACCAGGCTGGCCTGGAACTCAGAAATCCGCCTGCCTCTGCCTCCCAAGTGCTGGGATCAAAGGTGTGCGCCACCACCGACTGGCCTTTGTTTTGTTTTTAAATACAAGATTTCTCTGTCTGATAGCCCTGGCTGTCCTGGAATTAGCTTTGTAGACCAGGCTGGTCTTGAACTCACAGAGATCTACCTGCCTCTTCCTGAGTGCTGGTATTAAAGACGTGCGCCACGGATGCCTGGCTTTAAAGTAAGTTGAGCTCAGGAATACACAGCACAACTTCCTAGTCTAACCTAGTCCACAGCCCTGTCTCTTGGACAGCTGCACAGAGCAGCAGAGGGACATACAACAGTCAGGAAACAAGACAGGAAAGGTGTGGATTAATGCTGGCTAGAGTCATCTGGTAACGGGCATCTCAATGGGGAAAATGCCCACTTCAGATAGCCTATAGGCAAGTCTGTGGGAGCATTTTCTTCATTAATGGTTGATGTGAGAGGGTCCTACCTGTCCTGCAGTGGATGGTGCCACCCTTGGGCAAGTGGTCCTGGACTGTATACAACAGCAAGTGAATGGCTGGGGAGATGGCTCAACAGCTAATGGCAGGAGGAGGCTATGTCTCCAAGGGAGCATGGGCTGTTCTTCCAGAGGACCCAGGTTTGGTTTCTAGGACCTATATGGTGGCTAAAACCATCTCTGACTTTAGTTTCAAGGGATCTAACGTCTCTCCTGGTCTCCACAAGTACCAGGCATGCGCTGAGGACAGAGCACAGACAAACATGCAAGCAAAACACTGATGCACATAAAATACAAATAAATAAAGAAAACAAAACAAAGACCAACTGGGCAGGTCATGAGAAGCACACCAGTAAGCAGTGTCACTCCATGGCCTCTGCTTCATTTTCTGGCTCTTGGTTCCTGCCCTGACTTCCCTTTATGATGGACTATGATTGGGATGTGTAAGCCAATTAAACCATTTCCTTGCCAAGTTGCTTTTGGTTCTGGAGTTTTGACACAGCAATGGAAAGTAAGCTAAGACAGATCCCCTGGAGCTACAGTAAGTTACAGGAGACGAGGAGCTGCCCGAGACAAACTCCGCTCTTCTGGAAGAGCAACAAGTACTCTGAACCACTGAGTCATCTCTCCAGCTCCAAGACACTTTTTTTTATTTTTATTTTTATTTTTTTTTGGAGACAGGGTTTCTCTGTGTAGTCCTGACTGCCCTGGAACTAACTCTGTAGACCAGGCTGGCCTCGAACTCAGAAATCCGCCTGTCTCTGCCTCCCAAGTGCTGGGGCTAAAGGCGTGCGCCACCACTGCCCGGCTCCAAGACACTTTTATTAAAGATACAAATATTAAAATTTATATTGGTAAAGATTAAAAATGTAATACCCATATGGGCAAAGCTAGTAAACCATATGTATAATTAGTTACTTAAAGCCATAAACAAATCCATGAGGCAGGCATGGTAGGGCACTTGTATAATTCCTGTACCTAGGATCCAGAGTTCACAACAGGCTGGGCTACATATTGAGGCTCCAAGACAAATTAAGAAGGCGCTGAGACAAGAGGTTTTTCTTGTTGTCTTCTGTAGCTTGTCTACTGAGAACTACGCTCAGGCACTTAGGAAATTTTTTTTTTTTTTTTTTTTTGGTTTTTCAAGACAGGGTTTCTCTGTATAGTCCTGGCTGTCCTGGAACTCACTCTGTAGACTAAGCTGGCCTCCAACTCAAAAATCCACCTGCCTCTGCCTCCCAAGTGCTGGGATTAAAGGCATGTGCCACCACTGCCCAGCAACACTTAGGAAATGTTAACACAGATTTCTTAGGTGAAGAAGTTACCTGAGTTGTTGAGTGGGGCTGCAACTGTCCCAAAGGTGGGCCACGTTCCAAAGGTCTCTCAGGCAGCTCCTGGGGGTCCTGGGGCTTGGAGGTGGGATGACCTGGGCAAGGAGTCAGTTTCCCTGGAAACAGGATCAGGAAAGGGTTGGTTCCCCACATACATCATAAAGGATCTCTTGACCACAAGAACAGCAGATTAAGCCGGGCAGTGGTGGTGCACACCTTTGATTCCAGCACTTGGGAGGCAGAGTCAAAAGGAGTTCAAGGCCAGCCTGGACTACAGTGAGTTCCAGGACAGCCAGGCCTATGCAGAAAAGCCCTGCCTCAAAAAACCAAGGCAGGGGTCAGGAACAACGAACTATTTTTCAAAAATCAAAGAAATTTTACTTTAAAGAAGGAACTTGGTGACAGAGGTCAGGTGTGAATTGTGACATATCATCCCCTAGCAGAGCCCAGCACTACTTCCCAGCATAACCCTAACCTATAACCCCTAACCCTCAGACAGCTGCACAGACAGTAGAAGAAACATGATTTACTAACAGTCACTAATACAGGCCTCAGGGCAGCTCATTAAGTAAGCATCTGCCTGTGCAGGACACACACACACACCACCCCACACATATACCACACACCATCCCACACACATAACACACACACACCACCCACACACACATAACACACACACGCACACACCCTCACACACATACACCCCACACATACAACATACATCCCCCACACACACACATAACACACACACACAAACACGCACACACCACATACATCATGCACCACCTCACACATACCCCCCCCCATGTACAGCACACACACCACACACATACCCTACACACAGCACATACAAGCACAGAGTCCCTAATGCTCTGGATACTGAGGATGAGGCCAACCTGGACAATAGAGCAAAGCTCCACTTAAGAAGAGGGGTTGGGGGATGGGACTGGAGAGATAGCTCAGCTGTTTGGAGGACTTGTTGCTCTTAAGCAGGACCTGTGTTCAGTTGCCAGCACCCACACAGTGGTTCACAAATGCGCAGCTTTAATTGTACTCATATACATAAATAAATAAATCTTTTTAAAAAAGAAAAGAGAAAAAGGAAGGAAGATGTATGTGCATAAACTTCAAAGTCATGGGGGTAATAACTGCTTCTGCACTCTTTTACCAAGGAATGATCTTGATGACTTGTTTTAAGTTAACCTAAGCATCCTGGAGTTGTTTGTTTAAACAGGTCTAGCTCTGTAGGCAGGGTAGCCTAGAATTGTCTGTATCTTGTTTTAGCCTCCTAAGCGCTATGGCACCCAGGCTGACATAAAGATGAAGATGATAGTGATGATCTTGAGGTCACTATGTAGGTCTGGCTTGTCTGGAACTATCTCTGTATAGAACAAGCTGTCCTCAGACTACCAGAGATCTGCCTGTGTTTGCCTCCTGAGTGCTGAGATTAAAAGGTGTTGGCCATCACACCTGGCTTAGGATCACTCACTTGTTTTTTTTTTTTTGTTTGTTTGTTTTTTGTTTTTTTGTTTTTTTTTTGTTTTTGTTTTTTTTCGAGACAGGGTTTCTCTGTGTAGCCCTGGCTGTCCTGGAACTCACTCTGTAGACCAGGCTGGCCTGGAACTCAGAAATCTGCCTGCCTCTGCCTCCCAAGTGCTGGGATTAAAGGCGTGCGCCACCACTGCCTGGCAGGATCACTCACTTGTATAGCTGCAGAACTCAGCCTTTGCAAAGAGGCACGAATATCCTATATGGACAAGGCCTGACATTGTTTTTCATATTCCAGTGAAGTAGTCCTCTTTGTTTGGGACAGGACTCTTGCTTTCACTGCTAAGATTGGGTGGCTGGTCAGCCAAGGGGCTTCGGCCTCAATCAGGAGTGGGTGGCAACTTTGGCTTGGTGCACTCAATGGGGCACTTTAAGTGCATGGAGTCAGTCTTCCCAGTTCTAGTCGAGAAATAAAGTGGAATGAGACAGGAATTCGTTATGTTGGACAGAGGAGTGGGAGGGGGATGGCAGCTTTCCTGAGGTTTCCAATGGGTCAGAGCATGGACTCCTCACTGTCCAATAAAGAACAAAATTTAAGCCCAGGCTCATGTCCACATCTGTAAGACAGCCATGCTTTCCTCCTGGAATGATCTCCTAACCATGGATACTGTCAAATACCAAAGGATGCGGGGTGAGCCGTGATGAGGTGTAAAGTCTACATTCAGCACAAGAACAAAATGCAAAGGGACAGAGGAGTAGGTAGAAGGCGAGAATGGAAAAGTTCTAACATACTCCACCAGGCAAATGTCCCACAGCAGACAACTGCACCGCAGCAGACAACAGGACCACAGCAGATAACCACACCACAGTAGACAACCGCATCACAGCTGACAAACACACCTCAGCAGACAACTGCACTGCAGCAGGCAACCCAAGGAATAGAAGTAAATTCAGAAGGGATTTGAGTGTGTTTTACACAGTTGTTCAACAGCATAAAACAAAACAAAACAGAAGCCAGCATAATAGACTTAAAAATGACCAAAAAGGATTTTGAAAATCTCTTCTAGACAACTCAAGGGTGAAGTAAAACCCTGAACCCATAAGAGTATGTGTCTTGAGATTAGTTATTTGGTAACTGTGTCCTGTATGTTTCTAGGAAACGTTTGAAGTCACAGTCACATGGGAATTTACACCCTAAAACACGCAATGGCAATCAAGGCGTTGCAATGCACACACCTTTAATCTCAGCACTGGGACACAAAGGCAGGTGGATCGCTGAGTTTGAGGCTAGCCTGGTCTACAGAACAAATTTCAGGACAGCCAAGGCTACAAAGAAACCCTGTCTAAAAAAGAAAAAAACAAAACAACAGAAACCACGCCATAGCTGAATATGAAGGAATTAAGACAAATGCTAGGGGGCTGGAGAGATGGCTCAGCGGTTAAGAGCACTGACTGCTCTTCCAGAGGTCCTGAGTTCAAATCCCAGCAACCACATGGTGGCTCACAACCATCCGTAATGAGATTCGATGCCCTCTTCTGGTGTGTCTGAAGACAGCTACAGTGTACTCATAAATAAAATAAATAAATAAATCTTTAAAAAAAAAAAAAAAGACAAATGCTAGACACTCAATCAAGACACCAGGAAGAGAGGCATCAAATCAATTCAAGGACAGGAATAGAGATGAGGTGCTGATAGCTCCCAGAAACTAACCTAGCCACTTTAGACGCCTCAGCAAAACAAAAGAAGAGGGACAGACACACACATAGACACACACACACTATACCCACACATACACACAGACACACAACACTCACCCACAGAAACACACACACACATGCATATTCACACAGACATACACACATGGACACACAACACTCACCCACACAGACACATACCACACACACACACACAAACATATACACCACATACACACACACAGAGACATACAGACACATACCCCCACACACACCACATACACCTGTCATGGTGACATACACAAGGATGAGAAGGAAATGGGAAGCAGCATTAAAAGGAATAAGGGTTGGATTTTTTTCATGTGTGTGTGCCTATTATTTATGTGTGTGGAAACACGTGCATCTGTGTATGTGTGAACTCTGAGGCCCAAGGTTGATGTCAGAGATAATTCTTGATTGCTCTTCCACCTTTCAGTCACACCCAGAGCTCACTGGTATGCTAACCTCCCTAGCTGGCTTGTTCTGGGGATCCCTGTTTCCAGCTACCACATCTACTGGAATTTGGGGGCTCAACTTCCAGTCCTCATGCTTACTCATCGATGCTTCACCACAGAGCCATCTTCCCAGTCCTAACCTCTGGCTAGGTTTTCAAGAATTTGAAAAACCAAACAGTGTACCACATGGACAAACCAAATTGAGCCTCAACTGGACACAACAACATAAAATGGGAAGACAACAGATCAGAAGTGGCCAGTGTGTGTAGAGCAGACCCTTTACCAAGGAGCCAAGACCAGACCAATAGGTGACTGTTAGGAGATGACCTATCTGTGAATCCAGCGTGTGGGAGGCTGAGGCAGAGGGATTTTGATTCAGGCCAGCCTGGGCTACACAGTGAGCCCCTGTCTCATAAACAAACACACACATGGAGAGGTGTAGCTCCAGCTCAGCTACAGTTCTAGACGGCCATTAAACTACGGTTCCTGTCAGACATGTGGAGACCCAAGAAAGCTTCTCTGCCCTCAAGTTCTGGCTAAAGAAACAGCTAACAAACAAACAAACCAAACCAAACCAAATCAAAACAAAAACCCCGCCTCAGAGGATGAAATGCAAGTTAGGTTTCCTCTGGAGGCAGCTGTCTTCTATGGAGTCTAAAGAGGCCAAGTGTGGAGGTTGACTGCTTCCAGGGCCCAGGACAATGGCTTCATAACAGTGCATTCAACTAGTTCATAAGGTGAAAATTTGTACTAAAGCTATTTCTTTATTAGTAATTTCTGCATCATGTTTTTGGATGTGCATATCACTGTAATTACCAAGTATGGACATCTGACAACCTGGACACATAACTTAGAAGTGGAAACCATCAACTGTAACCTCAGGGAAAAATTCAGGTCCAATTACCTTCTCTTTTACTTTTTGACTGTGGCTGGTCTTGAGCTCATGATCTTCCTGCCTGCACCTTCTGAGTGCTGGGATCATAGGTGGGTATCACCACCTTCAATATGGTAGGTTTTCCCCAAATTATTCATAGATGAATCAAATTTTCCTCAGCAGGGCTGGGGATGTGGCTCAGTGGTAGAGTGCTTTACTGGAACGCACAAGGCCCTGGGTTTGATACCTAGTATATAAAGCAGAAGTATAATAATATAATAAAATGGGGAAATAATATAATAATAAATGGGGGAAAACCCTACAAAAATTAAGGATATAGTAAGTAAAACAATGAATGTTTTACTTATCATGATTTTCTAATGAATATTTACTTTTTGTGGGCCTGTGGTCCAGGGGAATTCTAACTCTCTGTTGTGCAAGTCTCTTCCAGCACTTCATAGCTCCCAAAGAGTGCAGAGAGGAGTTTGTGGGAGACAGACACTAGGCTGCTGGCAGATGAAAGGAAACTGGGACACCATCACCAGGCCCCGGGAAGAAGGAAGAACTCAGTGTTGGTACGGTGCTTGCCCAGCACGTATGAGCCACTGTCCCATCTCTTCTAGGAATCAGCTTGCTGGACTCAGAATGCACAGTGTGCCCTGCTGGGAGGGAAAGCAGGCTGTGCACATTGTATACCTAAAAGTCTATGTCCATGAACTCCGGGTGAGGGTAGGAGTGTGAGCGAGCCTGCCGTGCGCATGGCTGGTGAGAGTCAATGCAAACAGGACTGAAGTATGGAGGAGCCAGTGTCTTCCCCACAGTGTAGACAAGCCCCACAGTGTAGACAAGCTCCAGTTACTCAGTCTTGTTTTCTTACAATTTTCGTTTTGACTTGTATTTTTTCTTTTGTTTAAAATGTAGATTTGCCAGGTGGTGGTGGCAGCGGCGGCGCATGCCTTTAATCCCAGCACTTGGGAGGCAGAGGCAGGTGGATTTCTGAGTTCCAGGCCAGCCTGGTCTACAGAGTGAGTTCCAGGACAGCCAGGGCTACACAGAGAAACCCTGTCTCGAAAAACCAAAACCAAAAAAATAAAAATAAAATGTAGATTTATTTATTTGTCTTATGTGTATGAGTGGTTTGTCTGTATGTATGCACAGGTATGCCTGGTGCCTGTGGGGTCAGAAGAAAGTGTTTAATCTCCTGGGACCAGAGTTATAGATAGTTGTGAGTCACCAAGTTGGGGCTAGAACTAAACCCAGATTCTCTGCAAGAGCAACAAGTACTCTTAAACGCTGAGCCATTGCTTCAATCCCTTGATTTAGTTTGCCTCACTCTGTAGCACAGGCTGGTCTTAAAGTCAGTGTTCCTGTAGTAGTCTCCCTTGTGTGAGATTAAAACATTAGGTACCAGGTCTAGCAATGTGTCGTAGTCAGTCCAATGCTTGCCTAGCATGTACAGAGCCCTGAGCTGGATCCTCAGCACCACTGAAAACTGAGTATGTTAATGCAAGCCCGAGATGCTGGCTCTGGGAGAGGAGGCAGGAGGATCAACTCATTCCTGACTACACAAGGAATTCTTGTCAACCTGAGGTCAACCTGAGCTATATGAGACCTTGTCTAAAAGCAAAAGCAAGGGTCCTAGAGAGATGGGTCAGTGGTTAAGAGAACTGGCTGTTCTTCCAGAGGACTCAGGTTCAAGACCCAGCAACTGCATGGCAGCTCATAATTCTTTGTTTGTAACTCCAGTTCTAAGGGGTCTGGCATCCTTACACAGACATACATGTAGACAAAATATGCATAAATAAATCTGAAAAAAAAAAAGGAAAATAACCCCTAAAATGTTAGGTGTTGTAGAAGAGGCAAGAACAGACGCTGGGTTCTGACTTGGGGGAGAGGCAGTATTAGACAGAGGGGGATGTGTAGGAGAGAAAGAGGTGGCCAAATGGACATCTGCTTTGCTGGGCCTGCAGTGGCATGGTCCATTTATGGACCCCTCTTCCTTCTTTACATTCCCAGCACTGTGCTCCTTGGCTGGTCTTGGCCTGGACCCTGTAGCAGGTCTTGGGATCTGAATTCCAAATTCTCCCAACCACTGAGCTACCTCTCAAGCTTTGTTTGTTTTTAAGATAAGGTCTTTTATAGCTCAGGCTGGCCTGGAGCTTGTGGGGATCCTTCTGCCTTAGCCTCCTGAGTGCTGGGGTTACAGGCAGGAGCTACTATACTCATCTATCTTGCATTAAAGAACAAACAACCAAACAGCCACTTGCTTCTTGTGGGAAATCAACTAGGTACCGTAGACAATGCTGCACTGTTGAGCACAGCTACAGTGGGATGGCCTGGGACTGCCTGTGCTTGTCTCACCGGACCTCAGCTGCTCTACGACTATTTCTTCCAGATGTGGCCAGAGTGGGTCAAGGGACAACCAGTGGCAAGATGAAGCCCTGCTCTGTGCCTAAGGCGTCTGGTTGGCTCCATTCCAAACCCAGTGGCCTCTGTCCTCCAGCCTCCCTGGGAAGCCAGCCTGCAGTCCTCCTCCCTCTGGCCCCAGGCTTGTGGCAAGCAAGCCAGGAAGCTTTTTTCTTTTGGCCTCCTGTGGCAGAACCATGGCACCACCTTCCCACCCCACTGGCATGACCCCAGCTGTGGCTGGGCCTGCCACCCTGTGCCCAAACACTTACCTTTCGAGTGGGACTGCTCGGCTCGGAGTCTATTTCCCATTTCTAGGAGCTGCTCCCTCTCTAGGCGGAGGCTGAGTATTTTCCTAGCTGCGTCCTTTAATTTCCTTTGCAGATGGGACACAGATAAGGTCTGTGGAGTCTGTGCCCCTTCCTGGGGGAAAGTAGGGGACTCCATCTGGTCTTCCAGGCCCATGGGGTACCAGTCATCCAGACCCTGTACACAAAACCCAACCAGGAGATGGCCCTGTTAAGACACTCCAGAAGGCCTGCTGGCAGAGATCATGAAGGCTGGGAGCTCGTAGAATAGTCTAAAGCGTGGCCCACTGAGCTGCTCACCTGCCCTCTACAATCACCAAGGCTGGCTGGCTCACTGGTGACATCCTTCCAAAAGAAAACAATAGAGTGACTCTTCCCCATGCTTTAACTGAGTAGGGAGTTACAAACAGTACCCAGGCTTTGGTGAGCTACTTCTCTCCCAGGGGTGGGGGTGTGCATAGTTGTCAGCCTCCCCACTCCTGTTCCCATCCCCAGAGCATTCCTTTCCCCCCATAAGCTCCTGCTGAGAATCTAGGTGGGGTGTCTTTCAAACGGAGACAATGAGAACTTATGCTCAGCTAGCAGGGGGCTCTGTGCTGAATAAAGACGACCTCTCATTAGCCTCCAGCAACACCCTTGACTCTTTATGAAAACAGGGCCCTGTGGCCAGGCTGCTTCTCACTGCTAAGGGCCCACTCTGCTTCTGCCCTCTGCCCTGTGCTGGCTGAACCCCCACCCACCCTGCACACACATCCTCCTTTGCTGCACAAGGGTCAGGCAAGCCTTTCCTTCTCTTCCTTCATCTCCCTTCTGCTCATCCCTTCTACTTGCCTGCCTGTCCCCTTAGCACCCTATGGATCAGCTATGGTCACTCTTCCCTGAGAAAGTACAGGAGACTGCTGGGGAGTTGGGGCACCGTGCCAGGGTCAAGTAGACATGAACCCTGGGGAAGCGCCATGTGCCCCTCCTTCAGTCCAGCCTGGACTTGGGAGCCAACCCACACACTGCAGAAATATCTTCACAACACAGATGTCTGTGATGAGGAGAGGATATAGGAGAGACCAGGTTCCTGCATGACCCACTGATTCCTGATAGTTAAGAGAAACCATGACAATCTGTTACTATTCTGCATGCTTGAGTTTCAGGCTCTGGAACATCCTGCAAGCCCTGCCCTGTCTTCCTGGTCCCTGCCAGTGCTGGCAAGTGCTCGTGCCCTCTGGGTGCTACTGTTCCTCAGGTAGTCTGAAGTATGTGGGTGATTGCACTGTATCCAGGTGCTTTTGGCAAATGCTACAGGCCACGAGGCACTGAAGGACTCACAAAAAAGACACAGCAGAGGCAGAAACTCTGGGTCTGAGAAGGTCCTATGGCAAGCTATGACCAAGCTAGGCAAGTACACAATGCTCCCAGGGAATGCTGTTACAGGCCTAAACACCCCAAATCTCAATGCATTTCCAGTGTATGCAGTTTGTTCTTGAGTCTCTCCTCAGATATAGCCTTCAGAATACAAAGGAATGTGGGTCCTAGGAAAGGTGGATAGGGCTCTACCTTACAGGGCCTAGCCTAGCACGAGATTCCTATCACTTCAAATCATCTGTCTAACAGGGATAGAACCCTTGTGTGTGGGTTAAGGAGGGCCCAGTGTGGCCTTGTTCCTGATGGGACACTGGCCTCAAGGACAATGAACAATTTCCCTGGGCTCAGCTGTTAAAATTTTTCATTGGTCAAAGTGTTCTGTAAAGTCTTTCCCCTGAATACATATTTTACAACATGAGACACATTCAGAGATGTCTTGTGGTCTATGGGCACTTGAGTAAATCCTGTGGCAACCCACTTCCACCATCTTGGAATGGTAGCAAGTCTGGAGAGTAAGGAAATCTACAGAAATGTCTTGAGATTCACTGGGTCCAGACCAGAGACCTGCAGGTCTGTGGTAAAACAGGGGTCTTTTGCAGGCCAGGGTTAGAGCTTCCAGGCAGCTAACACTACACCTGGACAGTCTCTCCCTCTCCCTCCAGCATAGGACAGGAAGGCTTGGGGCTTGAGGTGTGTTGATGAAGGTGGCAGGACCTAGGAGCAGGGGACAACCTGGGCTCAAGCCCTGACTCAACAGTGAAGCCCAAGGAGGCCAGGTGTGGATGCAGAGTAGTACACCCTTCTATTTTAGCTTGCACAGCATTTTGCACAGGTACCTGTGTGGGCCATGCCACTGAGGTCACACTGCTATAGAGAAGTGTGGCCAGCTGTGCAGGCTCTTTAGTTGGGCAGGGAAAAGAAGACTAGCATTTCTGTTCTGTTTTAAAGACAGGGTTCCTCAATGTAGCTCTGGCTATCCTGGAACTTGGTCTGTAAACCAGGCTGGATCCACTTGCCTCTGCTGGAATTAAACGTGTGTGCTACCACCACCTGGCTAAAGCTGGCCTTTGACAGAAGCTGACAGTTGGAGGAGCTATCTTAGACTCTTGTCTTGGGAACTGCCATTTCCCTGCTTGGCTGTCCCTCTCTGCACATAAACTTCTTCCTGGAACACTAGAGAACAGATGGGAGTCTGTGCCTTCATGCCTAGACACTGAAGTCCTGCACGTCCACAAAGAACTGTGGCACACTGTTGACCCTGGCCTCCTGACTATACTCCTTTCCAAGGTCCAGGACCCCCACAGTATGAATGTGCTGATGTCTGAACCCCCATAGTACAAATGTGCCTAAAGCTAGAAGGTTCTCCAGCCTTTCTTTGTGGGAGGTTGCTGTTGTTTTGTTTTGTTGAGACAGGGTCTCTCTGTGGGGCCCTGACTGTACTGGAACTCACTCTATAGAGCATGCTGGCCTCAAACTTAGAAATTTCTCTAGTGCTGGGATTAAAGGCATGTGCCACCACAAAGCAGCATAATTTGTGTTTTATAACAATGACATCCTCAAGTGTCCTGAGGGGGCTAATCTGTGGATGTCCTTCCACCTGTTCTGTCTGAGGTAATCTCTTACTTAGGTTCAGGTTTTGTGCTTTGGCAGAACTCCAAAGTGAGTCTTGGGTACATTCCACTTAGGCACAGATGCTGGTGTCCTGGTGCTGGAGAAGTTGGTCAAGCTGGTGTCCCTAGTTTCTCCAATGACTTTTTCACCTTCTTATCAAGGTCAACTGAGGGTGGGAGAGACACAGTGTGACTGAAGATTTGGGCGCCTGGGTTCTCACTGAGCTTCTGCCTTGAGTTCCATATTCATATTCAACCGCCTTGTCTGTCATGTTTACTCACTAATGTTCGGATGTAGAAGTCATGTGACGTTTCTTTTTAAAGATTATTTTACTATGTCTATCTGTCTGGGGTGCTGTGCAGGTCACTGTGTACATGTTTGGAGAATAACCTGTAGAAATTGGCTTGCTCATTCTACCACATGGGTCGTAGAGATTGAACTTGGGTCCTGAGTCGTGGCAGTAAGTACCTTTACCTGCTGAGATACCTTGCTGGCTTCCATTTCTCCAAGTGTCTGTTCACATCATTCAGGATTTTCTATGAACTTGGTAGACTGCAGTCTTTCCTGGCTGAGGTGGCCAGTTGGAGCCCTTCTCAGATGGCCCCTGTACCGCCCTAATATATCCATGTGGAATTGGCATTGTTCAAGGAGGGCTGATGCTAGAAATGGAGCAACCACTGGACACAACTGCTGCAAGGCCCTCAGGACAGTGAGGAGCAGGCACACACACGTCTCATCCATTTCTCTATGTATCAGTAAGGACAGCTGAGGCCACTGACCATGCCCCTCGGAAGCACTGATTTCCAGGCTCCCCCATTTCTGGGCATCTAACACTTGGTTCAATAGGGGGATATGCTGCTGGGCAGTGGGTGTCACCCTTGGGGCCTTGTCTAGCAGGGGGACTGGACACTCATGTTTCTGGAGCTTTATCCAGACAATGACCCCACAGTGTGCTAAAATCAGAGCTACTAAGACCCAACAGGAACAAGGGTACCCAAAACTTTTTAAAAATTATTTTTATTATGTGACCGGATAAATGTGACTATTGAGGCCTACGCCTCCTGCTTCAACCTAGTCTACCACGATTTAACATCCAGTGCATATATGAAGTACTGATCTGTCCACTTCCCCTGGACTGCTGGACTGTGGGAGGTCTGAGAGCCCAGGGAGGCCCGGGTACAGGAACCCTTGGAGATGAACACTGCTCGATGCTTCAGTGTTGGCCTGTTCAGTCTTTTGCTGGATCCTCAGGCTCCCTCAGCCCCCATCCCTGCCCTGTTTCTTTTCTGCTTATTCTTAGACATAGCCTCTGCCAGAGGCCATGGCCTGTGTTCCTGTTCTTGTAATATGGTACCATATGAGTACACATTGTCTTAAACATCTCAGGTGAGTGCCTATGACCTCTGGTGATTAATAGGTTACCACCAGCAACCACGGGCGGCCACTGTAGGTCAGCACAGGCAGCCAAAGGTGAGCATAAGTCACCACTGCCACTGCAGGTCAACTGGCCGGGAGTCACAGCTTGGCTCGCTCACTGCAGGCACAGCAGCTCAGTGCAGAGGGAGAAGGTCATCAGAAGTCAGTACACCACCCCAGGTCACTGAACAATGGGTATGGCCTCAGAGCACAGCAGCGGAAGTAGGACTGTCACCTTTCCAACCCATGGTTCAGTGGGGCCTTAGGTGGGAAGAAAGGGCCAGGCCTCACAGTGGAAATCTGGGGCCCTTTCTGTACATTAGGCTCTGTTATGGGATTTAGTTCATACTCAGTTCATTAGGTCTCAGCCCTGGCCACAGTGCTGACCAGATGTTAAGGGCTCTGTGGCCCCTCCTCTCACAGGCAGGCCAGGCCAGGTCACACAGTGCCTTCTTAGCACTGTCCAGGCCCGTCTATGAAGAGATATGCATTCTTTGCAATGTGTTTCCTAAGGAAGGTTATTTTGATCAAGGAGGGCATGTGCTCCATTCCAGCAATAGTATGGGCAGCCAATGAAAGAACCAGAGGTATGAGCAAGTTCACAGAGACAGTGTCTGAAAAGATCAGGAATCTAGCCATGTGCCAGCAAACATGTCTGCCTTCAGCAGTGGGAGCTGACAAGCCAGGGTGGGAGAAGACGGTGGCAGACATGCATGCCCAGCACCTACCTCTCTCTGTAAGTGATCCCTGTAAGAAGGCTCTCCTCGGGGCTGCAGCATCTTGAGGTGCTTCCTTAGCTCAGCCACCTGTCGCTGCAGCTCCACAACCTCCAGGTGCACCTGGTCCACTGCACTGGGGATCTCACGCTGCACAGCGGCCAGCTCGGGGGGTTTCTGCCGCAGCTAGGCAATCAGTTCAGAAGGCAATGTCAATGTTAGGAAGAGGTAGTGGGAACTGTCCTAGAAAGGACAGGAGCATGACGTGCAGGGGTGCAGCAGGGCCAAGTGGCCAGTCCCTTCTTTGTACATGACGATCTGCAGATCTACCACTCCACTTCTGCCCAGGCTCACTGGGGAGAATGTGTGCATGAAAGTGGGTTAGAATCCTCTCCTGAGCCTAGTTCCCAGGAAGCTATAACTGCCTCTAGAACATTGCTGGTAACCAGGAAGTCTTTTCTATCAAAAGGGCAGATGGTAGGCTGGGTGAGGTGGCACACACCTTTAATCCTAGCACTCGAGAGGCAGAGGCAGGTGGATCTCTGGGAGTTTGAGGCTAGACTACATAGTGATTTCCAGGACAGCCAGGGTTCTGTAGAGACACTGTATCAAAAGAGCAAAAAGGGGGAGTGGTATAGAAGGAGCTAAGAGGGAGTGGGCAATAGGGAAAGCTCCCCGAGGCAGTGCTGGGTTGGGGATGTGCAGCTGATAGAGCACTTGCCTAGGATGCAGGAAGCCCTGGACTTCATTGCCAATATCACATAAACAGGGTGTAGTGGTCTATGCCTGTAATTCTAGCACTTGGGAGGTAGAGGCAGAAAGATCAGAAATTCAAGGCCATTTTTGGCCAGCTTGGGTTCCATGAGACCCTACCTTAAAATAAGACAACAGGAGAAGTGGCTATGGTGGATGTGAAGTTCAGAAGGGGGAAGTTGAGGGCTATAGGTATAATGGTGGCAGCACTGTGTCACCAGTACCCAAGTGGCTCCACTGTGGCCTGAGCCAGGCAGGAAGGGAACCAGGGAAGCACACTTCCTCACACGGTGGCCACTCCTTCTAGGTTAAGGGAATTAAAAGTGCTTCTGTTCCAGGGATGCCTGCGGTTGTCTCTGCATGGCCATCCCTTCTTCCCATCGCCTCATGAAAAGCATTTATATAACGGTGAGAGGCCAGTATGCCCTCCTCACTCAGTGTGGGGCAAGTAACAGAAAAAGTGGTTAAGCGGTGGTGAGTGACTAAGAGTTAAGACAAGATGAAGAATAGGAGATTCAGCAAACAATGTGCCTGCTAAGGATCCTGAATCTAGAATGCACTCCAGCTGAAAGTGAGCAAAGGATCTAAACACACATATATCAAAAGAGGCTTGTAGTCAGCCATGCCTAGGAGAAGGTGCTCAGCATCGTGTGTCAGCAGGGAAGTGCAGGTCAACTGAAGTCAGAGTGAAATGCCATGAACCAGAATGGCCAGAATCAAGAAGGGAGAAGAGGGCTGTTGTCAGTGAGACCATGGAGGAAACAGACCTGGGAAAGCATAGCGAGTGGGGATGGCAGTAGCAGCAGCACTAGAAACAGTCTGGTGGCTCTTCAGAGGGGAAACACAGACGCTCCACAACGTTAGCACAGCAATTCTCTGCTGGGTACACAGTCCCCAAACTGAAGACGCATCTCTACAGAGACACTTGTACAGGAATGTTTACACTATTCCCAATGGCTAACAACAGAGGCGACTAAGTGTCTATCCATAGGGAGATGATTTAACAAAGCCACACAAGAGTACTGCGTGGCTACAAACAGGAAGGAAGACTCGTGTGATGTAACACATGTGAACATTGAAATAACGAGCTATTCCCGCACTTGGGAAGTAAAGGCAGGAGGATCTCTGTGAGTTTGAGGCCAGACTGGTCTATATAGAGAGTGCCAGGGTTACATACATCTGTCTCAAAACCAAAACAAACCAAAACAAACTCCTGGGTTAAGTGAAAGAAGCCAGAAGCCAAGACACAGTGACTTCACTTACACAGGTCTTGTGTGTCCACCTTGCTCTTTGTCAAGACCTCCTCTTTCTTCTACCTGGTCTTCTTGTATGTTTTCCTCTTTCTCTTCATATATATGTGTACATATAAAATATGTATATGCATCATGCATCTATAAATATACTTATAAAATGTATAATGTACATAAACATATACACAATGTATATCTCGACACATATTTATGTGTATAGACATACATACATATATATACATACATATACATTGTGTGTGTGTGTGTGCATTGTTGCTGTTGTTGCTGCTGCTGCTGCTGCTGTTTGGGTATAGGGTCTCATGTATCCCAGGCTGGCCTCCAACTCTCTTTTTCTTTTTCTTTTTTTTTTTTTTAAGTTTTTCGAGACAGGGTTTCTCTGTGTAGTCCTGGCTGTCCTGGAACTCACTCTGTAGACCAGGCTGGCCTCGAACTCAGAAATCCGCCTGCCTCTGCCTCCCGAGTGCTGGGATTAAAGGCGTGCGCCACCACCGCCCGGCTCCAACTCTCTCTATAGCCATGGATGACCTTGATCCTCCTGCCTCTACCTCCTGAATGCTGGGACGACAGACACTTACCACCATATCAGGCTTCCCTGTGAATCATCTATAGCCACACATAAGATAAACCAACTACTGCACAGTGCAGTCCTTTGATCTGAAGCAAACAGAAGTTGGGACAATACCCAAGGTCAATGAGGTCACACCTGGCACCTCTCTTGGAGCCTGCACCTATGTCCACATCTGGACTGGTTCTTCAGCTGGAATGCTTGCACAGCCTTAAGTGTCCAGGGTAGACCTACCTTCTTTTTGAGTTGTGTCACCAGCAAGTTCAATAGATGTACTCTGTCTCCAAGTTTTCTGAGTGCCAATGCAATGGAAGTCTGGTCTGCCGGGGCTACATCTGTAGGTAAGAACAGTTGATGTCAGCTCAAACCTGAGAAACAAAAACAGTCGCTCTGTGAAGCTGACCCTCCTTCCCACAGAGGCCACTAAAGCTTCTAAGTGACTTCAAGGCAAATATGTCCATCCCTGAATCAAAGGGTTGGGTCCCTAGAAAGTCCAGAGACATGATATTATGCTATTTAGTACAATCTTATAGAAAGGGGGAGAGAGAGAGAGAGAGAGAGAGAGAGAGAGAGAGAGAGAGAGAGAG